AAAAAAAAAAAAAAAAAAAAAAAAAAAAAAACTTCCAAAAACCACAAAACCAAATATGGTATATCTACACTAAGTTAGTAGATTAATTAGGTTAGGAAAATAAATTAAAAAATTTGTATTAAATATAGAAAAATATTTATTTATATTATTTAGTTTATAAAATAAAAATTAATTTTTAATTTATATTTTAAAATTTAATACATTTAGATTGATTGTAAACAATAATGACGATAAAAGGCAATCACTTTGTTATAATTCTTTACCTAGTATAGTTTAAGTTTAATCTAAGTTAAATAATATCGGAGTTATTTTTATTGGCGGGTACCGACAACTAAGCAAAAATACAAAAATGTAATTTGAAACATTACAACATTAAAATAATCATAATAGGTTAATCAAATTTTTAATAAATTCTTACATCATATATTAAAATTATGATTATGATTATCTTGTATTTATTTATTTTTTGTGCAAAGTTTTAACACGTGAATCCATCACGTTGTTGATTATGGTAAATTAAGAATAGGCCGAATATTCGAATTATTCAAATATTATTAGCATTCGAATTCATGCGAAAGGAGAGGGAAAAAAAAAAAAATTATACATATTTATATATTTATTTATTATTTATTTATATTTATTTACATATTATTATTTTCCTTGTTTGTTATAAAATTCGAGAATGAAATCTGGAATTTTTTTTAATTAATTTAAGTTTTTCAAGCGAAAATAACATCCTAAATTAAGAAAGTAAGATATTTTTAATTTTATTGGTTCATTGATCGATTTACAGGAGAATATTTGAGGGGGGATGGGAATTTAGAAATAAGAAATCATTTAAAAATCATGTATTTAATGTGATATACATATGATAATATTATTACGAATTTTATACATTGTTAATTCCAATCTTAGGATTACTTATTAATAAATTTTCGGAATATTCTTTTTAATAAAATTTTTTTCATTGTGTCAAATTTGGATTAGTGAATCCAGCACTTACCAAATAAAGAAATATAATGTACTCGGATCCAACTTGATTACTACTTCTCATCACAATGGTACTACTATATTACTATAATACTATAATACTATAATACTATAAAAAAAAAACGAGCGGTAATTAACTCATGCGTTTGAAAAAAGACATGATGTTTATTTATCACGATAAGAAGCCACACATATTGACATAGGAATATACGGGTAAAAGCGGGAAACTTTAACCTACCTACCTAGTTATATAGGATATCACAATTTCTTTTAAACCGGAGAAGTAATTTTATAAGAATGTTTTTGGAATAAAAAGAATCCATTGAATCATGGTAAATCATATTCATAAAAGTATAAATTTTTTTCATTGAAAAATATAATGACGCCCAATAAATAACTATCCACTAAAAATAAAAAAAAGGAAATTAAAAATTCTTTCAAATAAGATGAAAATGATTATATTTAGATGAAAAAGATTTAACTTTAAAAAAAAAATAAGGAAAATAAGGATCAAAAAAAGAATTGAATCTACAATCCTATTGTCTCTCCTTTTTTATGCTAAATGTAAATCCCTCTTTTTTTTTTCTTTCTATTTCGTTTTATTACAATGAACCTATGATGGTTGTTGGTTTTTTTTTTTTTCTGGCTTCGAATTTTTATCATTCTATTTTTTTTTTTTTTTTT